AGCTCGTTTCAATAGTTTCCATTTGATTGTATAATTGATGTTTTGGTTTTTCAATTCCCACACGTATTTGCTTAGTTCGGTAGCGTTCCGTTTGTCGAAAGAGATGAATGATGCTTTATGGTTTGCAAGTCTTGTTTTAAACGAGTTTTCTGTAAGTCCGACATATGTTTGGGGAAGTCTATTTGTTGTTTTGTCCTTAGTAGTGACTGTGGCTTGATATACAACCGATTCAGTGGTACATTTGTTAGATAGTGGGCACAGTTCTTTACTGCCTTTAGGGCAACTACACATGTTAAGACCACTAGTGCTGGAAATTGTAGACAACGTGGATTTGTTGTGTCCATCGATAGTCTGCTTGATGTTTGGCATACAGCTGTAGCTAATCTTGACTGTATTACGGTTGAATATCTTGTGTAGTGGGTGATCTGTGGGGAATTCCTCGTCAATTAAAAAAAAGAAATCAAAATTTCGAGCAAATCTGAAATTGGAAGAGTTAGCAAACAAATCCTGGATAGAATTAATACGAAAGTCATTGAAGCAACGCGCATAAACCAGTGGAAAAACACTAAATCTGTGTTGTCCTGGTTTAATAAAGTTACTGATAAGAGCCAGTGCTCATTTATTGAATTTGATGTTGTTGACTTCTATCCATCCATCTCAATTGATCTTCTGAAGGCTGCGCTAGATTTTGCGTCAAAGTATGATAACATCACAGATACAGAAAGAGAAATCATTCTACATGCGAAGAAATCGTGGTTGTACAACTCGGGCAAGCACTGGGGAAAGAAATCATCATCAAATCTATTCGACGTCACTATGGGTAGTTTTGATGGTGCCGAATCATGTGAATTGGTCGGATCTTACCTACTACACCTTATTACGATGAAGCACGGTAATAAGTTTGGTTTATATAGAGACGACGGCTTGGGCATTATCAAAGCAACACCACGCCAAATAGAACTAATTCAGAAGGATCTGTGTGCCTTATTCAACAACCATGGTTTGAAAATTACTATCGAGGCTAACAAGAAAATCGTAAATTTCCTTGACGTGACACTAAATCTAACCACCGGAAAATATCACCCATATTCTAAGCCTAATAACTCATTTCTTTACGTGCATAGCAAGTCTAACCACCCGCCCAGTGTTCTGCGTAATATTCCATTATCCATTAACAAACGACTAACCGAGATATTCTCTGATCAAGATTCATTCGAACAAGCATCCCCGTCATATCAGCAAGCCCTTGACAAAAGTGGTTATACCCACAAACTACAGTTTAAACACCCCCTAAACCAATCGAATAACAAGAGTACCCGAAGCCGTAAAAGAAAAATTATATGGTATAACCCACCATATATAGTAAGAATGTTTCGACTAATGTTGGACAAACCTTCTTGAAAATAATTGACGAGGAATTCCCCGCAGATCACACACTACACAAGATATTCAACCGTAATACAGTCAAGATTAGCTACAGCTGTATGCCAAACATCAAGCAGACTATCGATGGACACAACAAATCCACGTTGTCTACAATTTCCAGCACTAGTGCATGGTCTTAACATGTGTAGTTGCCCTAAAGCAATAAAGAACTGTGCCCACTATCTAACAAATGTACCACTGAATCGGTTGTATATCAAGCCACAGTCACTACTAAGGACAAAACAACAAATAGACCTCCCCAAACATATGTCGGACTTACAGAAAACTCGTTTAAAACAAGACTTGCAAACCATAAAGCATCATTCATCTCTTTCGACAAACGGAACGCTACCGAACTAAGCAAATACGTGTGGGAATTGAAAAACCAAAACATCAATTATACAATCAAATGGAAACTATTGAAACGAGCTAAGCCTTATAACTGTGCTTCAAATCGGTGTAATTTGTGTTTATGGGAGAAATACTTTATTATTTGTAAGCCAAAAATGGCCACTTTAAACAAACAAAATGAGTTAGTGTCTGCATGTAGGCATAATAAAAAATTCCTTTTAAGTAACATTTAAAAAGCTAGACATTTAAATATACCGCGATTTGTTAATCTTTCCGCGTCCTGTTAGCTTATCACATAACATGTTAATTAAATCGCGTCGTTTGTAAATAGGATTAAGTTTTTTAAAGTCTCATCCACTTGTATACATAGATAACCTTATAAGTTTTAGTCTATAATCATTAGGTCAATTTATCTGAAGAGTGCCACATCTGTGGTACGAAACTATTTAGCAATAAAGATGCCTAGTGGATTTTGTTGATTGTTGTACCTTAATTTATATATATATATATATATATATATATATATATATATATATATATATATATATATATATATATTATATATATATATATATATATATATATATATATATATATATATATATATATATATATATATATATATATATATATATATATATATATATATTATGGTATTTTAACGTGATTATTTCACAATATACATATCTCTGATTAACCTTATACGATAGTATTCCTTCCACTCGTGAGCTCACTTACAAAAGTGCGAAGCCAGTGAGCGGTAGTGCTCTAGCTGAAACTCATCACAAGTGTAAGTGTCCAGGCCTTGTGACCCTGGATGGGCACTTAAAAGGAAGAAATACACACACAATATAATATAATGCTCGTTTCGGCTAGAGCACTCTAGATACGTATCGGCTTCCAAACACTTTTGCAATGCAATTGAATATGGGCATAATTAATTTATGTTCAGTCGACATGAAACAAACATGGTAAATACGATAATATATAATATATATATATATATATATAATATATATATATAATATATATATATAATGTATATATAATAATATATATATATAATATATATATATATATATATATATATATATAATAATATATATATATAATAATATATATATATAATATATATATATATATATATATATATATATATATATATATATATATATATATATATATATATATATTACGTTATCTTAGTAGTTTTAATAACCATTTATTTCAAATAAAGATTCAGTGTGTTCATCAAAATTTGAGGATGTCACTAAACCCACAGCTTTCTTTTTGTAATAAGTTCAAAGAGTGCAAATTCGTCATGTATGTATTACCCCAAATAATTATCCCATATGTAAGGAAAAGAAGCAAATTATTCCAATATACTTCAATCTTTTAATCTCTTTCGAAATAAAGATTTGTGATTTCCAATTTAAGTGAGAATCGATGTGGATTATTAAGGTTCCCTAATTCTCTGTGCGAGAGTTCTTCGGGTTTTTTTCCGTCAACGTGAGATCGACCTACGTTCATGAAGTGAACCGCTGAATTGCAATGGATCACGAACTCAAGTCAAAATGGCCGCAAGGTAAGGAGTGGACTGACTATGCAATAGGATTTTTTGTCTTGCTTGTGATGTTACTCTGAGTGTATATCCACACCGGGCAAGCTTGAAAAATATGCCTGACCACGGTGGTCTACGCGGTCTGGTGGGTTCGAGTATGTGATATTTCGGAACAGAGTCTAGTTCCTTCGATATCAATGTTATCTAATAATAATCTTGATTTGATATCGATATCGAAGGAAGTAGATTCTGTTCCGAAATATCACATATTCGAACCGACCAGACCGCGTAGCTCAGTTGGCAGGGCATTAGGCTAGTATTCCAAAGGTCGTAGGGTCGATTCCTACAGTGGTCAGGCATATTTTTCAAGCTTGCCCGGTGTGGATATACACTCAGAGTAACATCACAAGCATTATATTCACCTGAATACAATACACCAACACAGAAAAATCAAGATTTTTTGTCTTGTTTCTTTATATACTATTGATATAGTGTTCTTTGAATTTTGAAACTTAGTAACTACTCAAAAGTTTCTGGTATATTACACAGCTAAAAACGACCAGGTTGTAGCAATATTGATGAAAACAGGATTGAACAATGTTATGCGTCTCACATTGTTCACAGTTGTCAACAAGTTGAACAATATTGTTACACCCGATTCAGGCTCAACAATATTTGTTCAATATTGTTAACAAGGGTGAAAATGTTGGTCGCACAACATTGTTCAACCTGTTAAACAACAGGCTCATAATTTTTACTAGCCTGTCTACGGACGTTTTAAAATCCTAAAACGTTCGTGACTTCACTGACTTGGGGCCTTCGGTTTGTCTACCATATATATTGTTTGTTTGCCCATCCCTAGCCCGGCAGAAATATGATGCAAGTGTTATTCAAACTGTTCTACCCTTTCACACCAGCACGCATTATACTGTAAGGCCAGTGTGAACGCCTGAGCAGGCGTCGTGTTTATATATAATTTGGGCGCATAATTAACCCTTTCTTGAGAACTAACAATTACCCTTTAATTAAGAGATATATAATGCACTTGAATCACACTCACCATTCTAAATATAGCATGAGATCTGCTGCTTCTTTCATTCATATTCGTGCCGCCAATGTGTCGATTTTTCTCCCCAATTCTCATTACATCAATAACCTCAGTCACACTTGTCACCACTTTTTCCGTCAGTTTTCAACCGATACCTCTCTATCTACATTTTCACGAATTTTCAAATTTGTGGACTTGGGATTAAGAAGATCCGTAATGATTTCATTGTATATTTCCATGTACGAAACACGTAAAAGGAATTCTCGGTTTTGAGTCTTGGAGATGTAATTGAAGACTTCGTCTAGGGCAAAGGGGACGATACCAGGCGTGTCCACGGAACCGGTCATGGTGTACGTCTTGCCCGATGATGTCTGGTCGTATGCAAACAGAGTGCCTGGAAATAGAATTAAGGTGGCTCGATAAAGTTTTCAACTTTTCAAATAAATTATATTTCTGTTCATACGAGCCCATCTAGCCGTGAAACACGTCTGCAAGAGTGAGATGTGCAGGCCCTTTGTTAATAAACAATTCCCAATATAGACTAATTTTAAAACTAGGCAAGGAGATGCAAATAAATCACCACAGCTAGAAAGCGCATACAAAAATTAGTAAAATTGCCACTTTTGGTCGCGAAATGTTGTAAAATGCGCAAAATATAGCCTTGCAAAGTTTGCATCCCACATGACCGGAATGGACATTTTTTGCAAATTTAAACAATACAGATGATTGACGAACGCTTTCCGACGTTTCTTCGTTATTTCCAAAGTTGGCCATAAACTCGCGAACGTCGTGACGTATAGTAGTCATTTCACAACAGACTTTAGGGCCATTTATACGAGCGAAAATAAGCCGCGGCCTAAATAAGACGTGGCTTAAATAAGTCGCGAACGACTCGTATAGACAGTCAATTTGCAATAAGCCGCGGCTAAAATAAGCCCAGGCTTGAAAGCTAGGCCTAAATAAGCCGCGGCTTATTGCGAATTGACTGTTTATACGAGTCGTTCGCGACTTATTTAAGCCGCGGCTTATTTATGCCGCGGCTTATTTTCGCTCGTTTAAATGGCCCTTTTGTCATTCGGCAACAGACTTTGTCATTCGGCAACAGACTTTGTCATTCGACAACAGACTGTCATTTGGCGGCAACAGACTTTGTCATTCGGCAACAGACTTTGTCATTCGACAACAGACTGTCATTTGGCGGCAACAGACTTTGTCATTCGGCAAGATATTTTTCGCAAGCATCCCAGCAGTCTTTGCCCACACCAGCCTCGTACCCAGGCGCCTTGCATTTCCACGCCGTCGCGTGACTGCAAATGGGCCAACCAAAAGATGGCGGCAACTAGGACAGTTTTATTTTCAAGGTTTCAAGACGCTTTTCGCGAAATTATACGCCAATTGTCAAATAGCGAGTTGGATGAAGATGGTGTGGACATTGCATGCAGCATTATTTTCCGTCTTGAACAATGCAATGTCGACTTGATGAACAACCAAACTGAACATTTGATTTCGAACACAATAATGCTTCTTCGAAATTATAAGGATGTAAACAGACAAGCATCATCTTTCCAGTTAGAAAGAAACTTAAATGGCAACTGGGGTCGACCAAGATTTAGTATAAGTTCGGAGCAATTGCATTATCTTCTGAATTACGATCCCATGTGCCAGATATTGCTCAAGCATTGGGCGTTTCAAGAAATACCATATTCAGGCCTATTCAGATCGACGTATGCGCACATTTGGTTTATCATTGGGTCAAAGAATGACAGATAATGACATCGTTATAACTTCGAAGAAGCATTGTGTTCGAAATCAAACGTTCAGTTTGGTTGTTCATAATTGGCGTATAATATCGCGAAAAGCGTTTTGAAACCTTGAAAATGAAGCTGTCCTATAGTTGCCGCCATCTTTGTTGGCGCGTTGGTCCATTTGCGGGTTTGAAGTTTTGAACAAAAATTTCCACGCGCGCGTCACGCGACGGCGGGGCAATTCAAAGCGCCTGCGTAAGGGGCTGGCGTGGGCAAAGATTGCCGTGGGATGCTTGCGAAAAATATCTTGCCGAATGACAAAGTCTATACCAAATTGCTATCAACCTGATAGCTCATTTCATATGCCGAATGATATTTTTCCAAACAATTCAGATTTATAGTGAATATTGACACTGAAAATGCACAATACCAAAATAATTTCTGAAAGCCTTTGAACGATAGTTGGATAACCGTATAACAATGGTGTATCTATAATTTTGAATCTCGACTTCGTGTCGGTTTTTATACACCGATAATCACCTCGCCTTCGGCGAATAATTGTTAAGTATTATCAGGTAGTGTTAGACTTTCCCAATGTTTTCGCGGCACGGCTTCGTCGCTGACCGCTCGCTATTCGAGCGTTTCGAGATTGACTTGTGGGCAAGTCTAAGATAGTGTATATATAACCAGTTATAAATTACCGAAAATTCCCTCCATGACAGAAAGTACGATTGGTTTAGCAAAATCTGTGTAGAGATCAAGCGTAGTATGGTCTTTGCTGAATATTCGATCTACAGAAAATTAAATGAGATCAATCGCACTACTCATCACAGTAATATTCGTTTGTGATTTGTTAGTTATTAAGCGCCATGAGCAATTTATTATGCTTTGTTATTTATTATATACAGCGCCATGAACATAGGATATATGCGCTTTAGAAATAAATTTTACTATTATTATTATTATGAATGAGACAGAGCAAATAACGAAGTACCAGTTGCCGAGGGCGTCAATTTGATTTAATTGTGTAATGTAACCCCAAAACATTCTCAACATTCTTTTCGACCATCAAGTGAAACACTGCTGGAAAATGTTCGGTAGGATGAATAAATTTGTTTGATCAGATCGCAGTGTGCGATAATTCGCGTACTTACGTACCGGAGGTACTACATGTACGCAAATATTACGCTCTGGTACTTCTTTGTTTTCAGCCACGTACCACGTAGGTACGCGGAACTCTTGCTGTCTGCGTACTTACTTATTGCTGGTACCACATGACCAAGCCCAAGGTATTCAATACCGTGA